TGCGTGTGTTAGGGTCGGTGTTGGACGGTCTGGGGGGGGTGGTCACAGAGTGAGAGTGGGCCGAGGAGAGGGTACGGGAGGGGGCTGAAGGGTGCTATTATCCCGGGGCTCAATGGGGTCTTTGTGCCGACGGTCACAGTGAGGGGGGGGGGGAGCACTCTGTCATAATGTTGTTCAACACAGAGTGTGTGTGTGTGTGTGTGTTGGAGGTAAACAGTGACATTTGTTCAGGACCTCACACACACACACACACACACACACACACACACAGGAATCACTGCAGATCCTCCAAAGGTCAAAGGTCAGAGGATTTGAACCTCCACCCTCCTGACTGGCAGAGACGTTCTGACCTCCATCACCTGGAGTCTGTGAGACATGATGGTGATGGAGCTCCATGTTTCAGATCATGGAGGAGGAGGAGGAGGAGGAGGAGGAGGAGAGGAGGAGGAGGAGCAGGAGGAGTCTGATCTTCACACTTCAAACCTTTTCTGTCATTTTTAATCTTCCTCTGGGATCAATAATAAAGTATCGATCAGTTTAAACTCAAATCATTCATGTTCCTCAAAGTAAAGGAACGATCAGCTGTTTCTGAGACTTATTGATCTTTTATCAGTCAGCTGTTTCTGAGACTTATTGATCTTTTATCAGTCAGCTGTTTCTGAGACTTATTGATCTTTTATCGATCAGCTGTTTCTGAGACTTATTGATCTTTTATCAGTCAGCTGTTTCTGAGACTTATTGATCTTTTATCGATCAGCTGTTTCTGAGACTTATTGATCTTTTATCAGTCAGCTGTTTCTGAGCCGCTCCGGTTTATTTAAAGATCTAAAACTACGTCTTCAGTGGCGGTGGAGGTCCTCCACCTTCAGCAGCAGAGCTGATGGTCGACGTCAGAAATATCAGGATCAGTAAAGACTTATTGATCTTTTATCAATCAGCTGGTCTCAGTCTGATCGATCAGCCATTATTGAATGTTTTACTCAAAGATCTTGTTTTTGTCGGAGACTCGTTTATCTGAAGTTGAAGGATCTCGGTGTTTTCTGACGTTAATCGGGTGTTTTCGGCGTTTCCCCCTGAATTCGGCGAGGACAGAGGAGGCGCTCTGGTGTTTTGACGTGTTGATTGATGATGTGTCGTAGCGGAGCTTTCTGCAGAGTGGCGTGACGGAGCGCCTCCACAGGCCCGTGTCTACCTCAGCTCCTCCACGATGACATGAAGAACGCCGTTGAATCAGATCTCCAAACGTGGACCTCAGGCTGATGTCTGTGATGTTTCCACATGTTGTCCCAGATATCTCTGATGTTTGGGTTTGCTCCTCACGGTTCCAGGGCCGTGTACCTCAGAGAACCTCAGAGGGATCTTTGATAGTTCTGTGATGGACCTGAGTCTGGACCTGAGTCTGGACCTGAGTCTGGACCTGAGTCTGGACCTGGGTCTGGACTCAGTGGGTGTGAGGACAGATGGAGAGCTCAGATCTTCTCATCCTCTCAGAGCTTCTCTCTCATTTCTGTTTTTCTGAGGTTGTGAAAAACTCCCTCTTTTTCTCATTGTGTTGTGAGATTTAGCCCCGCCCCCTTTCTTCTGCTACTTCCTGTCTTATCAAAGGCGCTCCCTGACCTCCCTTCCTGTCCATTCAATTTCAGTTCTCGCCTCATTCTCCTTTTTCAAACGGTTCGTCGTGATAAAAGCTGAACTAACATGAACTTCTCCTCCTCCTCCTCCTCCTCCTCCTCCTCCTCCTCCTCCTCTTCCTCCTCCTCCTCCTCTTCCTCCTCCTCCTCCTCCTCCTCCTCTCTTTCAGACCTTCACCGCCTGGTGTAACTCCCACCTGAGGAAGGCCGGCACGCAGATCGAGAACATCGAGGAGGACTTCAGGGATGGACTCAAACTCATGCTGCTGTTGGAGGTCATCTCAGGTACTCTTCCTCACCCTCATCTTCCTCACCCTCGTACTCCTCACCCTCGTCTTCTTCACCCTCATCTTCTTCACCCTCGTCTTACTCACCCTCATCGTCCTCACCCTATTCTTCCTCACCCTATTCGTCCTCACCCTCATCGTCCTCACCCTCGTCTTCTTCACCCTCGTCTTCCTCACCCTCGTCTTCCTCACCCTCACCTTCTTCACCCTCATCTTCTTCACCCTCATCTTCCTCACCCTCGTCTTCTTCACCCTCACCTTCTTCACCCTCATCTTCCTCACCCTCGTCTTCCTCACCCTCATCTTCCTCACCCTCGTCTTCCTCACCCTCGTCTTCCTCACCCTCGTCTTCCTCACCCTCACCTTCCTCACCCTCATCTTCCTCACCCTCGTCTTCCTCACCCTCGTCTTCCTCACCCTCATCTTCTTCACCCTCGTCTTCCTCACCCTCGTCTTCCTCACCCTCATCTTCCTCACCCTCGTCTTCCTCACCCTCATCGTCCTCACCCTCACCTTCTTCACCCTCATCTTCTTCACCCTCGTCTTCCTCACCCTCATCTTCCTCACCCTCATCTTCCTCACCCTCGTCTTCCTCACCCTCATCTTCCTCACCCTCGTCTTCCTCACCCTCGTCTTCCTCACCCTCGTCTTCCTCACCCTCGTCTTCCTCACCCTCGTCTTCCTCACCCTCGTCTTCCTCACCCTCGTCTTCCTCACCCTCATCTTCCTCACCCTCGTCTTCCTCACCCTCGTCTTCCTCACCCTCGTCTTCCTCACCCTCATCTTCCTCACCCTCGTCTTCCTCACCCTCGTCTTCCTCATGTTTATCATTTTTTAACTGAACCTCTGAATTCAGAGTTTGTGATAAAAGTTTTAATATCAGATGGTGAAGAGGCTCCGCCCCCTGACTTAACTCTGCAGGAGCTCACTCACTCACTGTGCTTTTCCTCTTCCTGTGTGTGTGTGCGTGCGCGTGTGTGTGTGCGTACGTGCGTGCGTGCGTGCGTGCGTGCGTGTGTGCCGCGTATGTCCACAGGGGAGCGGTTACCCAAACCTGAGCGAGGAAAGATGAGGGTCCACAAGATCAACAACGTCAACAAAGCTCTGGACTTCATCGCCAGTAAAGGGGTCAAACTGGTCTCTATTGGAGCAGAAGGTAAGACCTCCAGTCCTCTCAGTATGTAACAGGTTCAGCCAGCAGGGGGCGAGGCAGAGCGGCGGGTCTGATAGACTCATGTGGTCTGAAAAGTCAAAGAGGTGGATCTGAGGTGTGTCTGTTCAGACTCTGAGGGTTTGGAGGAGGAGCAGGAGGAGCATGAGGAGCAGGAGGAGCATGAGGAAGTGAAACACGTGAACTATGAGGAGAATCTCACCTGCGTGCCTCTCATACCTCGCTGTCCCGCTCAGCGTGTGTCTCATGTTCATGAACCTGAAACAGATCTGTGGGAGGTGATGAGAAACCGGGTCCACAGTGAGGAGGACTGTCTCAGGTTAGATGTTCAGGGCTGTAGATGTCCACACAGACCATCACGGTCCTCAGGAACCACCAGGCTGCCTCTGTCTGTTTTATGAACGTGGATCTCACAGAGTGGAGATCTGGCAGCTGTGGGCCTCGGAGGTCCTCTGTCTGTGGGTGAGTTGGCGTTATTAGAAGAAGCAGCAGATGTAAGGTAGTAAAAACAGAAGTGAGAGGAGGAGGAGGAGGAGGAGACGAAGAGAATCCAGGAGCAACCAGAAGAAAAGGGAGTGAAGGGTTAGTTCATGTGGAGGTACCACAGCAGGCTGGGTCCAGAACCTCCTGGATCCTCTGAACTGAAGAACTTCTCTGAAGTGATGAACTTTCTGAGAACTTTGACATTTTCTTTAGACGATGAGATTCGAAGTTAAATTCACGTGAAAACTGTGAGGAGGAAAAACACGTTAGACTCATTAGACTCACAGCTGAACAAAGACGGTCATGAGAAACGTTTCCCTCAGAGTCTCATGTCGGGTCTGAGCATGAAGGTCTGTCATAAAGTCAGAGCGACAGCATGACGACGACAACGACACGCTACAACACGCCGCTCTAACGGCGGCTTTAACTCTCATGATTCTCTCAGAAACTCTGAAGTTTGTGTCTCATCCTGTCGACTGAAGCGGCAGATCTGAGGTTATGGGGAGAACGGGGCGTCTTCTCAGGTGGACCACACCCACCTGTGTGAGAGCAGCTCGGGGTCGTCAGCTGTCGCTCATGATAAATTCAGCAGAAATCAGAGAAGATAAAAATCTGATCAGCTCCATTGATCAGCTGATTGATTTCCCTGTTCTTCTCTTCCTGGTCATGAGGATCAGCCAATCAGAGCTCTTAAAAGGATGAGTCATACTGAGCAGTGGGGTTGGCCACGCCCCCTCCCCTAAATGAGAGGACTCTGAGTCTTTGTGAGTCCAGGTTCTGGACTCTGATTGGTCTGGATCTGGTCGTTAAACCCCTGAACAGGACCAGAACCAGAACTTTGCTGGTCCGTTTGACTTTAACAGCAGCAGATGTTGGACTCTGTGAAGGTTCGAGGAACCCTCCAAAGGTTCCTCTGAGTCTGAGCCTGACAGACTCTCAACCATGACTCTTTTCAAACCTGTCGATGTGTTCGCCGCAGAAATCGTGGACGGAAACGCCAAGATGACCCTGGGAATGATCTGGACCATCATCCTCCGCTTCGCCATCCAGGACATCTCCGTAGAAGGTACGAGTTTAAGAGAGAGAGAGAGAGAGAGAGAGAGAGAGAGACAGACAGAGAGAGAGCGAGAGAGAGAGGGAGGGAGAGAGAGACAGAGGGAGAGAGAGAGAGAGAGAGAGACAGAGAGAGAGAGAGAGAGAGAGAGAGAGGAAGAGAGAGAGAGAGAGAGACAGAGGAAGTAAAAGACCTAAAAAAGAGAGAGAGCTGAAAAGTGAGGGATAGAGCAGAGAGAGAAAAGAGAGAATCAGAAATGAAGAGAAGAAAGAGAGCGAAGGAAAGAGGGAGGAGAAAAGAAGGAGAAACAGAACTACAGTAATTACAGTACTAATGCAGTAATAGTACTACAGTAGTTACAGTACTATAGCAGTAATAGTACTACAGTAGTTACAGTACTATAGCAGTAATAGTACTACAGTAGTTACAGTACTAAAGCAGTAATAGTACTACAGTAGTTACAGTACTATAGCAGTAATAGTACTACAGTAGTTACAGTACTAAAGCAGTAATAGTACTACAGTAGTTACAGTACTATAGCAGTAATAGTACTACAGTAGTTACAGTACTATAGCAGTAATAGTACTACAGTAGTTACAGTACTACAGCAGTAATAGTACTACAGTAGTTACAGTACTAAAGCAGTAATAGTACTACAGTAGTTACAGTACTAAAGCAGTAATAGTACTACAGTAGTTACAGTACTATAGCAGTAATAGTACTACAGTAGTTACAGTACTAAAGCAGTAATAGTACTACAGTAGTTACAGTACTATAGCAGTAATAGTACTACAGTAGTTACAGTACTATAGCAGTAATAGTACTACAGTAGTTACAGTACTAAAGCAGTAATAGTACTACAGTAGTTACAGTACTATAGCAGTAATAGTACTACAGTAGTTACAGTACTAAAGCAGTAATAGTACTACAGTAGTTACAGTACTATAGCAGTAATAGTACTACAGTAGTTACAGTACTATAGCAGTAATAGTACTACAGTAGTTACAGTACTAAAGCAGTAATAGTACTACAGTAGTTACAGTACTATAGCAGTAATAGTACTACAGTAGTTACAGTACTAAAGCAGTAATAGTACTACAGTAGTTACAGTACTATAGCAGTAATAGTACTACAGTAGTTACAGTACTAAAGCAGTAATAGTACTACAGTAGTTACAGTACTATAGCAGTAATAGTACTACAGTAGTTACAGTACTATAGCAGTAATAGTACTACAGTAGTTACAGTACTAAAGCAGTAATAGTACTACAGTAGTTACAGTACTAAAGCAGTAATAGTACTACAGTAGTTACAGTACTAAAGCAGTACAAGAGTAATAGTACTACAGTAGTTACAGTACTATAGCAGTAATAGTACTACAGTAGTTACAGTACTATAGCAGTAATAGTACTACAGTAGTTACAGTACTAAAGCAGTAATAGTACTACAGTAGTTACAGTACTAAAGCAGTAATAGTACTACAGTAGTTACAGTACTATAGCAGTAATAGTACTACAGTAGTTACAGTACTAAAGCAGTAATAGTACTACAGTAGTTACAGTACTAAAGCAGTAATAGTACTACAGTAGTTACAGTACTAATGCAGTAATAGTACTACAGTAGTTACAGTACTAAAGCAGTAATAGTACTACAGTAGTTACAGTACTATAGCAGTAATAGTACTACAGTAGTTACAGTACTAAAGCAGTAATAGTACTACAGTAGTTACAGTACTATAGCAGTAATAGTACTACAGTAGTTACAGTACTATAGCAGTAATAGTACTACAGTAGTTACAGTACTATAGCAGTAATAGTACTACAGTAGTTACAGTACTATAGCAGTAATAGTACTACAGTAGTTACAGTACTATAGCAGTAATAGTACTACAGTAGTTACAGTACTATAGCAGTAATAGTACTACAGTAGTTACAGTACTATAGCAGTAATAGTACTACAGTAGTTACAGTACTAAAGCAGTAATAGTACTACAGTAGTTACAGTACTATAGCAGTAATAGTACTACAGTAGTTACAGTACTAATGCAGTAATAGTACTACAGTAGTTACAGTACTAATGCAGTAATAGTACTACAGTAGTTACAGTACTAATGCAGTAATAGTACTACAGTAGTTACAGTACTAATGCAGTAATAGTACTACAGTATTGAGGTCTGACCATCACTGTGGGACCATCAGGTCTGTGCTGCTTTAACATTTCTCCTCTGCTCCTCCTCCTCTGTATCTCCTCTGCTCCTCCTCTTCTGTATCTCCTCTGCTCCTCCTCTTCTGTATCTCCTCTGCTCCTCCTCTTCTGTATCTCCTCTGCTCCTCCTCTTCTGTATCTCCTCTGCTCCTCCTCCTCTGTATCTCCTCTGCTCCTCCTCCTCACTACAGAGACGTCTGCGAAGGAGGGTCTTCTTCTTTGGTGTCAGAGGAAAACTGCTCCCTACAAGAACGTCAATGTGCAGAACTTCCACATCAGGTAACACACACACACACACACACACACACACACACACACACACACACACACACACACACACACACACACACACACACACACACACACACACACACACACACACACACACACACACACACTGCTTGTCACTGAGGAGTATTAAATATCAGGAGCTGCAGTTCTTGTGTGTAAAGATCGCCCCCTGCTGGACTCTCTGTGATCTGCTCCTCTCAATAATCAGGAGGGTTTTTTTTCTCATTAGTTAAAATTAATGATTATTAAAAAATAATTCAGATTAAAATAATTCAGATTAAAATAATTCAGATTAAATTCAGTCATCCTCGTGAGCCCAGATTCATGTTTTCACAACAAGACAAACAGAAATGACAACATTAAAGATTTCTCTCTGTTGGTTTCAAACCCGGCTGCTCTCACACAGAACTGATCGGATCTGTTCTGATCTGACCCGGCGTTCTGAGCAGTATCTGGACCAACATGAATCTCTGAAGTTCTCCTGATGTTTCCTCCTCCCCCAGCTCCTCACTAACCTCTCGTGTTTCTCCCCCAGCTGGAAGGACGGTCTCGCCTTCAACGCTCTGATCCACAGACACAGACCGGACCTCATCGACTACGACAGCCTCAGAAAGGTCCGCTCAGTCCAAACCCACTTTTCAGAACTTCTCTTTTGAAGTCTGAGGCCTCGTGTAGAACCCGAGTGTAGAACCCAAACAGAGAGGGTCCGAATATTAATATTCAGGGTTTTATAACCTGGTTCCTTTTGTCAGTCCCGCTGATACCGGGTCAGCCTAGACGGTCAGAACAGAACACTTAAAGAATCCATGACAGTAGTCCTGAGGGTCCCAGAAGATGCAGAGATGTTCCTGAATGAAGCAGAGGTCAGAGGTCAGAGGTCAGAGCAGAAATGTCAAAAAAACCTACAAATTAAAAAACAAAGAGCTGATGACGGCGTGAAGCTGCGGCGCCGAGGCGTCCTTCAGCGGCGAGCGTCAGTATTTGACCCGGATCTGTGAGCGTTAGTGATCTTCTCATCAGGGTCTGTAGGTTCATGAACGCCGAGTTTCTCCACGAGGTCCAGAACTCACAAAAACACTGATGATGATGATGATGATGTAAGAGGAGGAGGGAGGAGTTACTGTGATCCTGACTCTGTGATTGGCTGTTCAGGACGACCCTGTGACCAATCTAAACAACGCCTTCGAGGTGGCCGAGAAACACCTGGACATCCCCAAGATGTTGGACGCAGAAGGTAGGCAGGAAGTGCGCCCTTATATGTCTGTGTTGCCATGGTGATTGTCTCGTGTGTCAGTGTTGCCATGGTGACCGTATTTACAGCCTCTCAGCACAGTGACTGGCTCTGTGGTCCGTCTGTAGGTCCAAATTCTGTTCTGACCCGATAGTCGGGTCACATGACTGTCACATGTTCTCTAAACCAGCTGGACTCGGTGTCCGTTAAAGTCCAAACCCACCAGGAGGTCCTGGTGTGAGTGAAGGTCTGTAAGAACCTGCAGGGTCCCCCCGGACCCGAGTCAGACCCCCATCCTGAACCGTCACTGTGTTGATGTCCCGGTAAATCTGGTCTCTGAAGGTCTTCTGGACTTCTCTCTGAGGAGCTGAAGATGAGAGGCTGGAGCTTCATCATCTTCAGGGAGGATGAAGCTCCTCCTCCTCCTCCTCCTCCTCCTCCTCCTGAGGAGTTCATAAAGTCCAATTAAACAGATCTTCACCAATCAGCCAGAACAAAGTGACCCTTGAAGGTCCAGTCAGGATCATCTCCTCAGATCAGACCCTGATCAGGTTAGTTAGACCAGCATCTCCACAGCTTCAGCTCAGAACAGTCAGAACCGACCAGCGGGAGGTCCAAGGGAGGAGGAACCGACCAGCGGGAGGTCCAAGGGAGGAGGAACCGACCAGCGGGAGGTCCAAGAGAGGAGGAACCGACCAGCGGGAAGTCCAAGAGAGGAGGAACCGACCAGCGGGAGGTCCAAGAGAGGAGGAACCGACCAGCGGGAAGTCCAAGAGAGGAGGAACCGACCAGCAGGAAGTCCAAGAGAGGAGGAACCGACCAGCGGGAGGTCCAAGGGAGGAGGAACTGTTTCAGAGGACTGACCTGTCTGTGCCGACCTCACAGAGACGGGTCAGACGGGTCAGACTGGACCTCCTGCGGTTCTGGCTGGTTGGTGTGTCTGTCTGATTGTGTATTTGTCACTGTGAGGGTCGGACCAATCAGAACACTGAATCAGGAAACCGACAGGAAGTCAGGATGGTGACCTTCTTCTGAAGGTCATCTCTATCATTACGATCGCCGACCTGACCCGACCCGGAAACCCGATCGATCGAGTTTTTAAAGTATCAGGAGGATTTATTTCATTGATTTAATAAATTAAATTTATTAACGACACGTGATGGACGACGAATTTCAGAGATTTAAATTTTAACACATTAATTCAAAACTACGTCTGCAGGAGGGGGAGGAGCTTCAATCAGGAAACTGGGCGCCATTCTGACTCGGCGTTCTGCTTCAGTCGGGGGACGAACTCCGATCAGGAGAAAAGAAAAGAGAGGCTGTTAGAAACTGAAGTATTGATAAACTAAAGTATCGATAAACTAAAGTATTGATAAACCGAAGTATTGGTAAACTGAAGTATCGATAAACTGAAGTATCGATAAACTGAAGTATTGATAAACTGAACTATCGATGAACTAAAGTATCGATAAATTAATGTATTGATAAACTGAAGTATTGATGAACTCAAGTATTGATGAACTGAAGTATTGATAAACTGAAGTATTGATAAACTAAAGTATTGATAAACTAAAGTATTGATAAACTGAAGTATTGATAAACTAAAGTATTGATGAACTGAAGTATCGATAAATTAATGTATTGATAAACTGAAGTATTGATGAACTAAAGTATTTATAAACTGAAGTATTGATGAACTGAAGTATTGATAAACTAAAGTATTTATAAACTGAAGTATTGATAAACTAAAGTATTGATAAACCGAAGTATTGATAAACTGAAGTATTGATAAACTAAAGTATTGATAAACCGAAGTATTGATAAACTAAAGTATTGATAAATTAATGTATTGATAAACTAAAGTATTGATAAACTGAAGCGAACTCACTGACCCTGAAACTGTCGCAAAGATGGCGAGTAGAGGAGGTGACGTTTTTTTCGCACATGCTCAGTACAGATCGGGTTTCTGGATCAGGTGTTCATGACAGGAAGGAGGTTCTGGTTCTCCTGGAAAGACCTCCTGTGGGTTTTTGTGAGGAAGACCTGATCCAGCTTCTTCCCAAGTCCTGGATCAGAACTGAGAGCAGGTCGACCCGGATCGGTCCGACCCTCACAGGTCCGGTTCCATGATAGTGGTCTTGTGTTGATCCAGATCAGATCCTCCTGCCTGACTTCTTCAATAACTGTGTGTCTGTTTGTCCACCTGAGTCTGGACCGGTCCACGTGGGCCCGGTTCCGTCCCCCTGTCCTGTGTGTTGTCCTCTCTAACCTGGTGGTCTTCCCTCAGACATTGTGAACACGGCTCGTCCGGATGAGAAAGCCATTATGACTTATGTGTCCAGTTTCTACCATGCGTTCTCTGGAGCCCAGAAGGTACCACCCCCAACCCAAACGACCTTTGACCCCTGTTACTAACAAAACGCTGCTGTCTGTCCAGCATGGCCGCTCTCTCACTTACAGCTGCTGCTCTGGACCAGAACCTGGATCTACTGACACACACACACACACACACACACACAGTCAGGTCGGGATGAAAAGGAGGAACTTGAAGCTGCAGGAGGAGCCTCGCTCTCTCCTCGCTCTCTCCTCGCTCTCTCCTCCCTGCAGGGGTTGTGGAGCTTTGGGTTGCTCTTGCTTCACTCTCTCTCTCTCTCTCTCTCTCTCTCCCCCCCTGCTGCTGGGTGCTGGGTGGTCTTGCGTAGACATCGTGGGTACGCTGCGGCCGGATGAGAAGGCCATAATGACCTACGTTTCCTGTTTCTATCACGCCTTCTCTGGCGCTCAGAAGGTGAGCTCCTCCCACTAACCCACACTTCAGAGTTTCCATCAGTCCTTCAGTTCAGGGTCCAGGTCTCTGTTGGCTTTAGGAAACCAGGATTATTAGTCAAAGTCCTGATGGGAACTCTAACACCAGACTCTGCTGCTTCTGTTTCGGGGTTTTTGGACTTGGACCAGACCTGCCAACACTCCGGTGTTTCTGTTTTTCCCCGTATTTCACACCGTATATATATATATACATACATATACTCAGCACATTACATTAGTGTCAGCGCCCCAACGTCCAGTAGGGGTCTCCAAATCTTCTCAAATCCACCTGCTGTCCCTCTGAGATAGATGTTCATCTCTCTAGTCCAACACAGGACGCCGTCTCTGTCACCCAAACATTTATCGAAGGTTGAAAAATCAACACTTTAATGAAAGGGAAACAAAGCTGGGATCGAATATTTACGTTGATCGTCTCTCAGCGTCTCGCAGTGATGCGTTCAGGGCAGCCTCAGATAACAGAGCGCTATATTTCACACACAGACGTTCAGAGAGACTCAAACAGGAGAGAGAGGATGGAGAACAGAGGAGGACTTTAGTGTTAGAGGACTAAACAAGGTCAGATCAGAGATATTAGTATTTTATTATTATTATTATTATTATTATTATTATTATTATTTTATTATTATTATTATTATTATTATTATTATTATTATTATTATTATTTATTATTATTATAATTATTATTATTATTATTATTTATTATTTATTATTATTATTATTATTATTATTAATTATTATTATTATTATTATTATCATTATTATTATTATTATTTGTATTATTATCATTATTATTTATTTTATTATCATTATTATTTATTATTATTATAATTATTATTATCATTATTATTTATTATCATTATTGTTATTATTTATTTATTTTTTATTATTATCATTATTATTTATTATTATTATTATTATTATTATTATTATTATTTATTTATTTATTTTTATTATTATTATTATTATTATTTTTATTATTATAATTATTATTTATTATTATTATTATTATTATTATTATTTATTTATTTTTTATTATTATTATTATTATCATTATTATTATTTTATTGTGAAAACACAAGAGTCTGCAGCTTCACTTCGACTGATTTAAATGATTTAATTTAATTATAAATCGTCTCATAATGAGCTCAGATCCACCAGACCAGAGAACCACAAAACCGTCTTTAGTCCAGAACCAGGATGTTGGCAGGTCTGACCTGGACTGGTTCTGTCTGGGTCTGGATCCATACTTTTTTTTGGGGGGTGGGGGCAGACCTGCTTCATTTCTCAGATGTTCTCTGATCATCGGTCTCTGCTGCATTAACACGTTTCTCCTGTTTTTTCTGTCGTTTTTATATTTTATATTCTGTTTTTGTTCAGAAATGTCAGTTCAGCTCAGACAGCAGCTCAGCTTCTGTGTCTCAGTCTGTGACTGTCTTTGTTATTCCAGAGGTTCTGGTTTCCTCCAGAACATCTACTGATGGACTTCAGAGCTTCTTCAAACTGTAAATAGACCAACAGACCGACTCCTCAGTCGAGTCTCAGGAGACGCATGAAGCTTAAAAACACGCCGAGTGATTTTCCCACAGTGAACTAACCTCCACAGACCAGCATGGTGTGATCAGTTAGAAGACTTAGACCAGAACCAGAACTTAGACCAGAACCAGAACTTAGTCCTTCTGCACTGTTCTAACGGTGTGTGCCTGAAATGGACCCGCGGGTTCTGGACTTCACTGCCTGTGTGTGGAGTGTGTTGGTTTTAGAGTTAATGTGAGGACTTAGTGAAGGTCAGAGTTCAGCAGCGACAGTCAGTGATGAAGATGATGATGATGACAGCGTGTTTTCAGCTGAACGCCACTCATCACTCTGTCCTCTGATAGGCTGAGACAGCCGCCAATCGAATCTGCAAAGTTCTGGCTGTGAACCAGGAGAACGAGCAGATGATGGAGGACTACGAGAAACTGGCCAGTGAGGTGAGACTCTGACCCCCCGAAGGTCTCATGATGACCTCCTAATAAAGACGTGAAGAGGACTTCCCCTGACCCTTCTCCTCCTTCCCCTCCACATCCTTCTTCTTCTCCTCCTCCTCCTCCTCCTCCTCCTTCTCCTCCTTCTTCTCCTCCTTCTTCTCCTCCTCCTTCTCCTCCTCCTCCTCCTGCAGCTCCTGGAGTGGATCCGTAGGACCATCCCCTGGCTGCTGAACAGAGAAAAGCAGAAGACCATGAATGAGATGCAGGCCAAACAGGAGGACTTCAGAGACTACCGCCGAGACCACAAACCCCCCAAGGTGAGTCTGAGGTTCCTGATGATGGTCCTGGTCCTGATGATGGTCCTGGTCCTGAAGGTCCTGGAGAGGGTTCATGTCTCAGTCTGTGCTCCTCCTCTCTGTGTCTGCAGGTCCAGGAGAAATGTCAGCTGGAGATCAGCTTCAACACCCTGCAGACCAAACTGAGACTCAGCAACAGACCCGCCTTCATGCCGTCAGAAGGTCGCATGGTTTCCGTGAGTGTCCTCGCCTGATTGGTGGTTCTCCTCAGATATCTGTGTCTGCCTGAATGAATCCATGAATCCTTGAAATAGATGTTGTCATGGAAACAGGACCGCTGTGTGTCAGTTACACCCAAAACCTACAGGGGGCGTGTTTTGTCACCATGGCGTCCCGGCTCTGCTGGGCGGCGCATGTCATCGCCTACTGGGCGAATGAATGAATGAATGAATGAATGGTCTTTATTTTCCTGTCATGTCACCATCAGCACAGGAACCCATCCTGTGGGTTTTGGGCTTTAAATAGTCGGTTTGTTAACCCGGAATTTCCACCACATCCAGAACGGCGGCGATTTTCGCCATCCACCAGTTTCTACCTGATCCGTTTGTGAGGAGAATTTCGTGGCGGATAACAGACGGCGGTAATCACGAGAACTCTCAAGAACCCGCAGATTCACGTTCAATCCCACGATAACGAGTCGTCTCTCTGAAGACAGACACATAGACATATAAGCAGTAGATTGTGTCCTTCCAGAGGAGGAAATCTACTTCTAGACTTCTAGAATCAGCATCTCCTCATCCATGGTGTCATCGGGGTGAAATGACGTCTAAAAACCTTTCACTTGTTCGTCTCCGCCCGTTTGCATGGTGTGAAATACGATCCTCCTGAAACACGGAGTGTTTTATTTTGAAAAGAAGCCGGATGTTTTATTTTGTGTCTGTGCCCGACTTCCTTTCCAGCACGGGTTAATCTGTGCTGAATTTATCCGCCATGCTCCGGCGTCCAGAAAAAATAGAACTCTTGTGATCAGCTGAGGAGTCCGGCGATCCGCAGAGGAACGGAAAGAAGTCGGTGTAAATTGTGAACTGACATCATCAGTAAACCCCCCCCCTGTTTGTTTGACAGGATATCAACGGAGCGTGGCACTCTCTGGAGGGCGCAGAGAAAGGCTACGAGGAGTGGATCCTCAGCGAGATCCGGCGTCTGGAGAGACTCGAGCACTTGGCCGAGAAATTCCACCAGAAAGCCGCCATCCACGAGTCGTGGACCGACGGTACGACGCAGAAAAACATCGAATCAAAGTCAGGAGGTCACTGTGAAACTGCAGGTGGTCCTGGTACACGGCAGAGTCCCTGAAGTTTCTGATGGGTCCTCTGTGAACCGGTCTAAGGTGCACAAACCCAGGAGTCTGTAGAACCAAACCAGCAGCTGGGAGTTCATAAGAACGAGGTTTATCGAGTCAAAACGGAGAAAAACCTCCTGAGCTCGCTCTTAAAGGGACAGTCACTTCCTGCAGTTACATTTATACTCATTTATACATGTATTTACACATTTATACTCATTAATACTCATACACATTTGTACACATCCATTCTCATTTATACTTGTAATACTTGTACCATTCTATATCTAAACACATTCTAACTTCACTGCCTTCACTCTCCAGAATCAGACTTTATTTTCTTAAACATGTCAGAGTGCTTCATGTCTGTTCAATGTTTTTCATAATTCCAGACTAAAACGGTCAGATTTACAGATTCTCACAGTCCGGATTATAAATACTGATAACTGAACACGGACAGTCAGGATTTAGAGTCCGACTGCTCGCTGAAATCAGGTGGCTGAAATAATAATCTGTGTGTGTATTCAGGCAAGGAGGCCATGCTGACCCAGAAAGACTACGAGACCTCCACCCTTTCAGAAGTCAAGGCGTTACTACGGAAACATGAGGCCTTTGAGAGCGACCTGGCGGCTCATCAGGACAGAGTGGAGCAGATCGCAGCCATCGCACAGGAACTGAAGTGAGCAGCGAGAACAGGACATCTGCCGCTCTGCCCAGAAAAGCTCTGACTCATGATTTCACTCTCCGTGTTTGTTTTTCAGCGAACTGGACTACTGCGACTCGGCCAAAGTGAACACTCGCTGTCAGAAGATCTGTGACCAGTGGGACGTCCTGGGAGCTCTCACCCAGAGCCGCAAAGAGTCACTGGAGGTAGGACTCAAGACAGGTGTCAGGACAAACCGGAGACGGTCTGACAGAGTTTTAGAGGTTTAGAGACTCTGGCGGGAGGAAAGAGGGGGGCTCAGCGTCCAATGAAAACAAAGATGTGTGTACGTCAGTGTCAGCCAAAGGGAGTTTAAGAAATATCAGCAAAACTCCAGAATCATGAATTTAATGTAAAGGATGTAAACAGAGAGGGACACCAAGGACACCTCTGATGAGACATGTCCTCAGTCTGAAGGTCAAACCGATTCATTCTTTCTCCTGAACTCAAAACGCTCTCCTCTCAAACATGTCGTCTAACCGTCTCTGAAACAGCCTGTCCTCAGACTCTCTTATTCTCTCACTCTCTCACTCTCTCACTCTCATACTCTCACACTCTCACACTCTCATACTCTCACACTCTCATACTCTCACACTCTCACACTCTCACTCTCTCATACTCTAAAACTCTCACACTCTCACACTCTCACACTCTCATACACTCATACTCTCACACTCTCACACTCTCATACTCTCACACTCTCATACTCTCATACTCTCACACTCTCACACTCTCACTCTCTCATACTCTAAAACTCTCACACTCTCATACTCTCACACTCTCACACTCTCATACTCTCACACTCTCATACTCTCACACTCTCACACTCTCACACTCTCATACTCTCACACTCTCATACTCTCACTCTCTCATACTCTCACACTCTCACACTCTCACACTCACACTCTCATACTCTCACACTCTCACACTCTAAAACTCTCACACTCTCACACTCTAACACTCTCATACACTCATACTCTCACACTCTCACACTCTCATACTCTCACACTCTCATACTCTCACTCTCTCATACTCTCACTCTCTCACACTCTCACACTCTCATACTCTCACACTCTCACACTCTCATACACTCACTCTCTCATACTCTCACTCTCTCATACTCTAAAACTCTCACACTCTCATACTCTCACACTCTCATACACTCACTCTCTCATACTCTAAAACTCTCACACTCTCATACTCTCACACTCTCATACACTCACCCTCTCACACTCTCACACTCAGTGAAAATATCCTGAATGACTCCCGTCTTTTAGGGTGTCTCAGTGTTTCCTCCTCTCCTCCAATAGCAGCTCTCACTCTCACACCTTCACAGCTGATCTTCTTCATTTTCTCATCAGCTGATTTGAACTTCTGCTCTTTGCTGCCCACAGAGGACAGAGAAGCAGCTGGAGTCCATCGATGAGCTTTACTTGGAGTACGCCAAGAGAGCAGCTCCCTTCAACAACTGGATGGAGGGAGCTATGGAAGACCTGCAGGACATGTTCATCGTCCACAACATCGAGGAGATCCAGGTAACCTTGAGAACTTCATGAGAGAGTGATTAGAAGGTGTGAGGAGCAGCTAATGTTAACGACACTCAGGCTGAGGAACCTCTGAGGTTCAAGAGTTTGATGAAAGAACCCAAACGTGTGTGAAGTCCATCAACTCAGATGTTTTCTCCTTCCTCAGGGTCTCATTACAGCCCATGAGCAGTTCAAGTCCACCCTTCCAGAGGCCAACAAGGAGCGGGAGGCCATCCAGTCCATCCAGGCCGAGGTGCAGAAGATCGCCCAGAGCAACGGCATCAAGCTGAGTGGAGCAAACCCCTACACCACCATCACCCCGGAGAGCATCGACAGCAAATGGGAGAAGGTTGGTTCTCCTGTGTTTGGACCACTGTTGTATGTTTGAGGTTCTGGACACGTGCAGTGAAGGGCCTCTCTGTCCCGCTTGGATCTTCTGTTAAAGCGGTCCAACCTGGTTTGATGGATTGATGTTTGTAGTTTTAGAA